TAATAATATAATTTTTATAAGGATAATAATTAAGTATTATGTTAAAACTCAATGATTATTTTAATTATATTTAAATTTTTTATATTTAAAATAAGATGTTTATCCTGTATTTGATTATGTTTATCTGCAATTAGTTACACGAATTCTAAAAATAAAGTTTTAATAAGTTGTATTTACGTAAAATTTACTTGTACTATTGAATTTTAAGTAATATGCATTAATAAATAGTATTTCATGTATAAAAGATTGTTTTTAAGAGTTTTTGTCAAATACTTTATAATTTAACGAATATATGTTATATTTATATTCATACAAAGACCATGGAGACCTCAGATGCACATTCTCTCCATGAATTTATTGGAAGGGTAAAAAGGCAACCATATTAACCTTCAAGATTTGCAGGATTTAATGTGTTGAACAATTGAGATTGATTCCTCGTTTTCTTTTAAATATTTATGGTTTTCATTTGTACATGGCTCCAAATTGTGTAAATTATCTAGTGTGCAAGCAAATTATGCAACGAAAAACTATTAAAAAAACTTGGGAAATTTGAAAGAACAATTGAACAACTAACAAGAGGTTTAATATTTTATGAGAGAGAGGGGTTGTTTGGTCATATGTTCTTTCCATAAATACTTGCATTCGAAGCAGATGTAACAAAAAGGGTATTTAAGGTCTGTGTATATCCATCCGACCGAAGTTCCACTTAATTACGTCCATACCACAGTATTTTTTTTAGCCTTTCAATCAAACGGAAAAAACTATCGAACGGCTTTGAATAGGTTCTCACGAAAGATAAAAATTCTCGTATGGTCTCAAGTAGGGGTGCTCATGGGTTTGGTTGATCGGGTTGAAGATATTTGAACAACCCAACTCAATGCTTGCGGTTTGGAAAATCTTTACCCAACCCAACCCAACCCGTACGAGTTGGTCGGGTTGATAATTTGGTACATTAAAATATTCTTTTAACCTAGCATATGTTATTTCTCTACTTAAAAAAAAAATTTCATCATCAACCATTTGATACAACATATCCATACTTCTTACGTATATCACATTCAGTTAATTTTTTCAATTTACATATATATGTTCACAGTTACTGAACATATATACAATTGAGTTATATAAAGATGTGAATAGATTGAAAATATGTGTATATGAAGAGCATACATGATAGTGTAATTGTTGTACATATTAATAGAAATTCAACAATCATATTAAATCCAAGAAATAAAAGATATTGAGTTCATGGGGTTGGGTTGGGTTCAAATAATAGTAACCCAATATCAATCCAATACCTACGGTTTGACAATTGTACAACTCTATTAGACATCGGGTTGCTAAGAGTTGAATTATTTCGTGTTGTATTGCGTTGATCGGATTGGTCGGGTTTTTGATCACCCCTGGTCCCAAGTGTTGATTGTGATTCAACAAAGGTAAATGATATAAATGTAGACATCTTTTTCCTTACAAAGAGAGCCTCCAAGAGTCAAATTATTGTACTACCTTATTGATGTTAGCCTCCTCAAAGCATGTTACATCTAACTGAAAATATACATATACTCCAAATATGTAAGTATATTGGATGAGGTAAGTTTTGTATTGAAAAATTTGTTTATTCGGATAAATTTGTCTGTCTGGTTAAATGAGTGTTTTTTTATCTGAACCAACAGTCTTAATAACATAAATGATCGATTTACCTTCTAATATTAATTATTTGAACATCAAAACAAAAAATTATAAAGAAGCCGAATATGGAGTGTCTCATATGAGGACGTGGTGCTTCAAATAAGGGGTAGGGGTGTCATTTTTGTGACTGAATGGGGACAACACACAATTTCTATCTGTGCGATTAAGCCATGTTCTATGCGAATAAGTCGTAACTAAACAACTCAAATGAACTGTTTGAATAAGCCAGATAGACCAATAAACCTAATTAAACCGCAAATAAACAACTCCTTAGTATAATTGATAATTCTAATAAAAAAAGCTTTCTAAAATCAAAAGTTATTGGACACCTGAAAAAGAAAAATACTTGTCATTTTAATAGGATAGAGCTTTAGAGGAAATGGAATCCAATGATGTCAATTTCGACAATCTGTTATGTTGGGTCACCTATTGATTTGGTGATGACCCACTGATCTGTTCATCTACCTTAGCAACACTTAGTAGTTATTGGTTCTTTGTAAATTGGTGTCTTGGTACATACTTAAAGCCATTGGCAAAATCGAAGACTAACCGATGTGAAGACAGAAGGTCACTGATGCGGTGTTGTGGATCAACTGTCTAATATACACACCAAGACTCCGAAGTAGCTGAAATGCATTTTGAAAATATTTTGAAGCTACAAGCCGATTGAAGGAAGATCTTCATAGACCGAAGATTGAAAATCTTCATGGACTCAAGATT